CAATATTATGTTTGAATACGAAGATCTTGTGATTATACATGTGTGCCTAAATTATTTTTGAAAAAAAGTATTTTCGCCAACATTTCGGCATTACTAAATTTTTTATATTACAGCTTTTCCCATAAATTCTGGGACAAGTGATAAAAATTTGGCCGAAATTAATTCTGCCTAATTCGATAAGTTTTTGATCTTGGTATATAAGCTTTTGATTTCAATGTTATCGGCACTTACCGAAATCAAAAGTTTATGTACAGAAATCAAAAGCTTATGTACAGAAACCAAAAGCTTATGTGCCAAAATCAAAAGCTTATATACCGAGATCAAAAACTTATCGATTTCGACAGAGTTAATTTCAGCCAAATTTTTATTATTTGTCACAGAATTTATGAGAACAGCTATAAACTCTCTGAAATAACTATATTATATGGGTGTCGACAAGCAAAAACAGTGAATTTCGATTTTTGCCGGCTCCACTTTCTGATCCAATTCCTGATAAATTTAAATTAAGCACGACATAAATTATATGGTGTGTTAAATCACATTTTTTCAGAATTTTATTTGTGAACTAATTTCAGAAAACTCACAATTTCCTGTTTTTGCTTGTCGACACCCATATGATGTATTTTGATGAAAAGAGTTTAAAAAATTTCGGCAATAATTTCGATATATAATGTATGAAAATTAATTTCGGCACTATATAAGACTAATTTCGGCTGCCTAAATGCCGTAATTAATTTTTTATTAAGATGGGCAATTTAGGCACACATGTATACTTGTAATCCATGGATCCAAATCGAACGACTTATATACTATTCGATTCGTCACAATGAAACTAATCGAATGATATAAAAATCGGTGGATTCGAATCGTCGGATCACGAGTTATAATAAATTCGCCGCGATAACACCTTTACTTATATTTCTTGTTTTTTTTTCAGTTTTGTTTAATTTACCAGGAAAGTAAGCTATTTAGTAACCGATTTTATCGGACGAATAATCGGAATTTTACTCGTCGCAGTGTGATCGTACTGGTTCTGCGCCGCGTCACGCGCTGCGCAGCTACCCTAATTCTGTAAGTGCACGCTAATTTCCTGACCCACTTATAAAAACTCCCTCCATAAATGCATCCACGTGATTATAAACCAATCAAATTCATCATTTCTAGGCCACTAAAGCCACGTTTATCACTTGATAATGGTCAGGTTGTGATTCTATTAGTGTTCTCTAATTGCAACCCTCCCTAAATGCACGCTCTATAGCTGGTCCCGACGACGTGCATTTAGGGAGGTCTGGCTGTATAGTATTCTGTACATTATTAGAAAAAGTTTTTTATTTTATCTCCGAGTAACTCCTTTTTCATTTTCTGATATCGAAATTTCAAACCAAAAATAGAATCTAGCGGATGTTGGGTTGTGTGATGATTCTTACGACCTCATTCTTTTCTAAAATCATCTTCCACACTTACAATGTTGTAAATGATAGAACCAGTAAATTTACACGATTTTTAAAGAAAATTTTCGCTATAGAACTCATATAAAAGAGCTTGAGTTTTTCTTTCAACAAACCTCAAAAACTTTTTCGATTTTTTCATTATAAATAAATTTTCATGTGACTTTTATTCATAAGCATTGGACAAATTACTTTTATAACATATACTATAAAATAAGGTTATTAATATTTTAATAAATGGCATTAATATTTGAGAACTGGTAACTTGTATTTAATTAGTTTGATGTTGATATTTGGGAACGGATTACACATATTAAAGATTTACCATACGAACAATTGCTATTCACTCATTTGATATCAAGCTAAACTCATTTCTTGTACAAGTTTAGAATATTTATTTGTAAGAATTAACAATGGGAAATTGGGAAATTTGTATTGCGTAACTTAATAACTGCGATACGATATCGATTCGATTGTAGAAAAATTGATTTTGCTTAAAGGTTGTAGTTAATTCAATTGATTTGTAATTAATTTTTTCAAGCCAAAAAATAATGTACTAAATTTAAAGCTCGGAAATTGCATTTAGAGAACTGTTAATAAAAATTTGAACTCTGTAGAAAAAAAAATTAGAATTTAAATTGAAATTAGCAAACTTTTCGATACCATATAACGATAATTAATGTTTGGCCTGGCCTACTTTCTCGGTAAATTGTAAACGTACTTATGTTATCATAACTAACTATAAATTGTAATGTTTTTTTATTAAAAATTTACTAAAATACACGCTAAAAAATAAAAACTAAAATACGTGTAAAAAAATAAGCCAATAAGTTAGCTATATATATATAGGCTATAATATATATAGTACGTAAATAAAATCTTAAAACTTAATTTTTTTTGTCTCAATATATTCTACTACTTTTGGATGGCATAAATCTTTCCATTTGTCATCGTTATTATTAAATAACTCTCTAATTTTACTAGAACTAATTTCGTTATTATTATTAGATTTGATAAAAATAATATTATTTTCGGGAATTTTCCACTCGTCTTTATACATATCATTTAATTCTACTTTAAAAGATTCTCCACCATGTTCGTTTTTAATTTCACTATCCAAATATCTTTCAATAACAACAATTTCATAATCTTTTAAGTGCTTTAATCCGTTTCTTTCTTCCTTTAAAGCCTGGTCTAAGCCAAATAAGTAAATTAATTTCAATTTTCTTCCTTTTAAAGCTTTTTTAACTTGTTCATCTTCATTTAAAAATGTAGATAAGTTTTTTATAATTTGATGATGATCAGGAACATCTATATCGTTTTCTGATTCCAAAGTTGTTAATTCGATCCAAGGTGATTCATTGGTTACTCTTTTGATCATATTTATTCTATCGTCAAATGTAATTGTTTTATTAGAATGTTTTTTGTTAACAGATTTCTCAGGAGAAGGTGAGAGATATCCTAATACTATTTTGTAATTTCTTTCTTTTTCTAAATGTTGTTTTGCATCTTCAAAAATTTTAATGTGTAATTTATGAATAGGATAATAAAATCCGCATGATAATAATATAACTTGCGTTTTTAAGGATTCATTTTCGTTTTCATTTTCAAGATTATTAATCAACTTTTTAATAGGTATTAATTCATTTTCTTGAAAATCCATTTTTCATTAAATTCTTTTTTCTGTAAATGAAGCATATAATTTTTCATAAAAATTTTTTGAATTTTTTTAACTTAGGAGTATAAAAAATAAACTTTAAAAAAAACCATTTGAAAATTTTGTTGATATTTATAATACGTAAAAACAATAATATTTTTAACAATCATAAAAATTCCAAATACTGAATAATAAGATCAATTTATGTTTAAATACGTATAAATACTGACTTTAAATTACTGTAACCCAAATTTCCATATATTATTTCCCGGCATAATTCTGAAAAACCGGCTAGCATTATAACTATTGCTGGCCGATTTTGTCAAAATTATGTCTTTTTTCGGGAAAATCATAATAAAACATATTGTGAGACATTTGTAACATTAAAAGTTGAAATGAAACACTAACTGCTAAGCATAAGCACGTACGTACGTACGTACATACGTACGTATTTGTTGATATATTCCCATTTTGATTACCACCTGACGCTAACGCTAACGCTAACTGATGACAATAATAGCGATAGTGCCCAGCTATTGTTGAATATCCTTGCTTGTTTTATGCTTGCTACATAACGGTTACACATGTGGGCTGTTTTGTCTCCTAATTGAAATAAATAAGTTAAAGTATATTTCATTATATATATATATATATATATTATTTAATTACTATTACTATACCTTACTCAACGCGGTTAAAATTATTGGGTTTTTTTTGGATTTGTTAGTAATTATAACCAATATCACTAATTGGTCGGTAAAAACCTTAACGCTAACATTTGTTCTCCAAAAATAATTACCATTACAGTATTGTACCAATCAAATGCTACAGTTTAAAAATCCTTGTCGTACTAGCATCATGATTAAAAATAACATTTCTAATATAATTGAGTATCTAAAATAATTTAGTATCGTAACTGTTTAATGCAACATGTATATATGAAGTTGGAATGATGACCTGTACTTACTGTAAAAATTCATAATGGCTTCGAGTACAACCCGTTCTTGACATTCAATAGCACAATTCTTTTATCCTTGCATATATTTTTTCCAACACGATCCTATTAATGCTAGTTGTGTATCACCTTATGATTCGGCGTAACCTACGGATTCGCATCAATAAAAGATTACAATATAAATTTACATATGTACAAACTCAATTAACGTACGTACGTACGTATTTACTCGATTCTATTCCATTTAATAATAACAATAGCGACGATAACCTTATTTTCCCCCAAAAAGCTAGTGAAACGTAAAGTTCCAGATGAACGTTAATATTAACGTTAACGTTAATGTAACCAATGAAAACTAGGTTTCACGTTTTATTTGGTGGCACTAGATCATCAACCAGATCATCGGATCATTTCTAGTCTGTATAATTTGTGCTGTACGCCAATATATACTATCTTTATGCGCCAACTCTGTATCTTTATCATTATTTTTCTTCCTCGTTCATACATTAGCGAATATAATCTAAATTTTGGTCAATGAGTTCCGATTCAGTCAATGAACTTAGATTTGAAAAATGTATCGTCTGCAAAAAGCCAAAAACTGGCGACAATTGGTGTAGGAATTGTAATGCTAAACATTTTGAAAAAAATTTTAACAAATGTACAAGTGGCAATAAAAACATAGATAAATTTATTCAACAAATTCAACTTAACGCAAATAATTCGAACCAAGTATTAGAATTTATTCCATTTAAAGATATCTTGGACATTGGACATCTTGCTGAGGGCGGTTATGGGAGTGTATATAAAGCTAAATGGACACACGGCCCTATTGAATATTATGATAATGATGTTCAAGAATGGCATAGATCTGGTGAAACGAATATCGTTCTTAAAAGCATAAAAAGTTCAAGTAATAATAATATACCCGATGAATTTTTTGAAGAGGTATTTAATTTAATATGTTAAATTATGAATCAAATTTTTTTTATTTTTTATAATTAATTAATACTTTCCACTTTTTCTTTTTTAAGATTAAATCTCAGATGACCTCATTTGTGGATTTTGGTTATACCATTAGGTGTTTTGGAGTAACGAAATGTCCTGGTACTGGTGATTACATGATGATTATGGAATATAAAAAAGACGGTGGTCTCCATGAATATTTGGATAAAAATTTCAATTTAAAATGGAAACAAAAATTAGACATTTTATACACTGCAATCAAAGGAATCTCTAAAATTCACGAAGCAAAATTAATTCATAAGGATTTACACGCCGGAAATATTATTATTGCCGATAATGTTTCTTACATAGCCGATTTTGGTCTATGTAAACATGTTAGCCCCGAAGACGAAACCAAAAATATTAGCTCCGAAGACAAGAAAGAAATTTATGGTGTATTGCCATACGTTGCTCCTGAAGTTTTACGTACAAAAACATACACACAAGCCGCAGACATTTATTCGTTTGGGATTATTATAAATCAGGTTGCAGTAGGTTATCGACCGTTTTGTGATATCCAACACGATACTGGGCTCGTACATCTGATTATGAATGAAAAATTTCGCCCAAAAACTAATAATAACATCACCCCACAAATTATTACTGAATTGATCGAAAAATGCTGGAGCGACAATCCAAATGATAGGCCGACCGCTATTGAACTGGTTGATAAGTTTTTTGGTTATAGGCAAAAAGGCCATGAAATATGGTCTCAAATTAACCCTATTGACAAAAAGTTGGATTCATACATTCCCCCAATAGACAAACCACTTGAAAATATTTTATATACTAGCAAATTGATTAATTCAGTTAGCAAGCGCATTAGCATGCCTCCAATATCATCAGATATTTAATTTTTATTATTTTGCTTCATACCATTCATCAAAGCGCAAGTTTGCGAAATTAAAATTAGAAAAAAAAATATAATATTGCTAAAATTAAGTAATTATTATTATGAACTTTCAGTTATACAATTTTTTACTAAATTGATTGTTTTGGCAATTTGGTAATTTTTATTAGCTTTGTATTTTAATTCCCATTTGTTTCTTCATTACTTTGTAATATAATGTATAATAAATTATGTGTGTGTGTTACAAACTAAACTTTAGTGATCTAAGTTTATAATAAGTTGTTTAATACATACTAAATGAGTTTTATAATAAAATCTATCATACATTTATAGATCTCTGCAAATATTAATTGACATGCGTTATTTTTAATTTTCATCGATTGAAGAATGACTTAAATTTCACTGAAAGAATCATTTCAGCGTAGCCATTCACTAGAATCACTGGATCTCTGGAAAATCCGGACATCCAATGAAGCTCCAGTTTCATCATCAACATTGCTATACAATAAGTATTCATATTTTTCAACAAATTACGCCAATTATGGTACATCTGGCAGCGCACTCCAAAATTATATACACGTGCTACCTAAATTCCAAATAATAAAACATCATAATAATATAAAAATTATAGCCAGAAATAATATTGTGCATACTATTAAAGTTCTTAATAAGATAGATAATAATAATAATCGCTTATTTTTCTCAAGATGATTATGAAACGTAATGTTTCCGGTGTTATGCCTAATATGGGTTTTTCTTGTATTACGGGGTCGGTCAAATGACTGTAGATCGGAGAAACCTTTAGTTACTAACCACGGGACGTAACCACATGAGGAGGTAACCATCAGGAGAGATGTCAAACCACCAAAATCAGAAAACTATACGTATAAACAATACTTTCCTGGTGCCATTAAATTAAGTTAGATAACGATAAATAGAATGTTCTTTAAATCCCTTGTTATCCTAAAAGTATAATAATAAAAATTATTAATGAATCTTTATCATTCTTCAAATCCATGAATAATATACGTAATGCTTATATCTTGATAATATTGTCTTTGGATAGTAAACACAAGATCAACAATATATCCATTTGGTGTTAAACAGGAAATAGAAACAATAACAGTAATGAAATCTAAGATTTTCTGGTTTTCATTTGGTGGCATTTATATCATCAATCAGGGATTTTTCTTGTATAAATTGTGTACCAGTGCAATTCTGCATCTTTATTAATATTTTCTCTTCTTGTTCATATATTAGTGAATAATACAAATTTTGACCAATGAGTTTTAATTCAGATGAAGATATTAGTTTTGATGAAAAGAATGAACCCGAGATTGAAAACGATAGAACAATAAATCAATTTGGATATCGTTATCGACATGGAATAGTGACTAAAAAGAATGAACATAAAAAATGTGACGTTTGCGAAATGCTTGTAAATGATATTTGGTGTAGAAATTGTAACGCTGAATATTTTAAAGAAAAATTCGGTGAATGGACGAGTGGCAATGAGGTCATTGATAAATTTATCCAACAAATTCAACTCAAAGCGGTTAATTCTAGCCAAGTATTAGAATTTGTTCCATTTGAAGATATCTTTGGCATTGAGCATCTTGGTAAGGGCGGTTATGGCAGTGTATATAAAGCCAAATGGACACGCGGCCCTATTGAATATTATGACAATGATGTTCATGAATGGCACAGATCTGGAGAAAAAGATATCGTTCTCAAAAGCATAAAAAGTTTAAGTAATAATAATATACCTGATAAAGAGGTATTAATTTAATGCGTTAAATTATGAATTAATTTTTTTTAATAAGTAATTAATCCTTATCGCTTTTTCTTTTTTAAGATTAAAGCTCAAATGACCTCATTTGTGGATATTGGTTATACCATTAGGTGTTTTGGAATAACAAAACATCTTGGTACTGGTGACTACATGATAATCATGGAATACAAAAAAGGCGGTAGTCTCCATAAATATTTAGATAAAAATTTTAATCTTCTAAGGTGGCAACAAAAATTAGACATTTTATACACCGCAATTAAAGGACTTTCAAAAATTCATGAAGAAAACTTGATTCATAAGGATTTTCACAGTGGAAATATTATTATTGATGATAATATTTCTTATATATCTGATTTTGGTTTGTGCAAAGTTGTTAGTTCCGGAGACAAAATTGAAGTTTATGGTGTATTACCATACGTTGCCCCTGAAGTATTACGTGGAAAACCATACACGCAAGCCTCTGACATTTATTCTTTTGGAATTGTTATGAATCAGGTTGCAGTAGGCTATAAACCGTATTATGATATCTCACACGATACTAATCTTGCATCACGGATTATAATTGGAGGACTTCGCCCAAACATTAATAAAGTTATCACACCACGAATTATTATTGATTTAATCAAACGTTGCTGGAGTGAAAATCCAGATGATCGGCCAACTGCTTTAGAGCTGTGTGATGTGCTATATGGCTGTAGGCAAAAAGGCCACGAAATATGGACTCAAATTGAACTCATTGAAAAAAATATGACTTTTAACGTTCCCCCAGAAATGGCTTCTTTACATTATATAACATCAGAAAACGCAATCTATACTAGTCGATTACTTGATATTTCACAGGAATTAGGTAATTGGTTAATTTTTATTGTTTCAAATATTTAATGTACTAATATTTATTTTATAATTTAGTAAATAATATTAGTACTAGCTTACTATCAGAGACAGGTAGCTAACTTTTATTATTTGCTTCAAATCATCAACACAAGTTTACTAAATTTGCAAAATTAAAATATACAACTAAAACCTTTTAAACCAGAATTAAAGGAATTGATGATACATGATACTGCTAATAGTGATCCTTTCAACAATATTAAATTTTTTGCATTTACACCTGTTATTAAAAATGGCAGTAAATCTGTTTTTTTGGGAGACTCTATGTCAGAGTTTGTTTCAATACGTTCAACCATCTCTCCCGGAACATCAGCTGATGCAAACGACGAAGTCAAACGATTGCTCTCATTACTCGAAGACAAGACAAACGATATTAATCATATACTGGACCCACTGCAAGTATATGCGGTTGGTCCTGATTTTCAGAAAGACTATTCTATGCCATGTATCGCTTGTTGGAGTACCGAGAGTCTAGATGACAAGGTTATAGAAAGACTTTCAAAATTGTTCGAAGACAAGTATAAGGTTGTAAACAAAGTGGGTTTATTGGATACTAGTGTAAATAGTGGTGATAGTGGTGATAGTATTCAAGATGATTTATTTAATAATAATAGTATCACCAGCGAGTTTAATAATAAAGGATCATCTAGTTCGTCTTCAGGAGACGAAAAAGAATTTGAAAAAAGGAAAGAAGATGATGACGATGAAAAAGAAAATAATGGAGACAATAATGATGAAAATGATGATGGGGACGATAATGGAACCGATGGTGAGGATGATATCGGAAACGATGGCGGAGATGATATTGGAGACGGTGGTGAAAACGATGGTGGAGATGATAATGGAAACGGTGGTGGGGAAGAGGAAGAAGAATATATCACTATTACATCTACAGCTACAGCTGTTGACAAAAACAATCCAAAAAAAAATTGTCAAGACTTCAGTATTACCGTTAAGATCTTGGCAAAGGTCATCCCTGTCATTAATAAGTCATACTTGAACATTTTGGAGTTTTATGTTAATGTATATGATTGTAAAATGGGGCCTATGCTTAGTAAAAATTGGAAATCACTTCATGATTTGGGTTTTGGATATTTTTTAGATTCAGTAGAGATTAAAGTTTCTCCAATTTCACTCGAAAACGATAATATATCTCACATGATAGTACCAAAGAGTGATTATAAACAACCACAGCAACTCAATCGGCCTACTGAAATCACATCAGATCATGAGACAAACAAAGGAGTTGAAGGTCAGATCAATGGTAGTCTGCCCAATGGAGTTTTAGGTTTTCAAATTAAAGGTAATTATGGTGTAAAGAATGCTAATAGCGCTAAAACAATGACATATGAATGGAAAGTAGAGCGTGAAGGTAGTAATAAAACTGGGGTGTGCTGGACATATAGGCCTGTTAAAAATATTTATGAAAGAGAATATGTTCCAGGCGATCATTCTGGTCAATGGTATACTTTAAATACGATGCGTGGGTTTAAAATAACCATTACACAAATATTGCGTTGCGAATTCCGTGGCCGTGGCTGGGGTAAATCAAACAAAAAAGTAAAGCTGATAAAACTATGCCCCAAAATGGCTCACACATTGGAAATAACTTTCAACAGCATTGATAATTTTAATGAAAATTTTGCAAAACTTAAAAGAGATTATTTCGAACATGAAAACCTTATTGCTACACTAAATGCCAGTAACATGCATAACATTGAAAACACCCTAAAATGTTCAGATACTTTTATAATAGACCGTAAATTTTTACAATTGAACGAATAGTTTCTCATTTTCTATAAAATTATTATACTCGTATTTCTAATTTTACAACTTTATATGTAATAAATTTTATTTATGTTGTAGTGAGAACAGAATTCAAGTTGATTCTGAATTTTAAGGATTTTAGTATAATTATTCCTTTCTAATCTAGGTGAATTCCGAACCTATTGTGTTTCCATTTCCGCTTACAACACTTATGCTCGTTTTAAGATCCTTAAGTGGATTCTGAATTCGAACCTATTGAATATATACCTTTGATTAAGAGTTTTATGTAATAATAAATGAATTTAAAAAAAGATTAATTCTATTTTTAATAAGACAGATTTTCCAAAAAAATCGACCGTCATAGTCTGTTAAGTCGACTAAGCCGATTAATCCCCAAATCGACTTATACTACTAATAACATGAACTAGGGTACAAAATTATTCTATAGTAGAATTCAATGCTTCTCGAATGTCATTTCATTCTTAACTATGTCTATGCTTCTGATAGCAGAACTCCAATATTAAATTGTCTGCTCGAATTGCTACCTTAAACAGATTTCGAATACCACTTAAATGCCTTTTCTTCATCCTTGGCTATTCCTATGCCTCCGTTAAAGCAGAATCCAACTTTCGGCAGATTTCAAATACCATTTAAATGCATTAATTTTATCTTTTTCTGTGCCCATACCTCGGTCATAGCATAGTCCAACTTTAAATTGTCCATTGGAATCACCACCTTTAGCGGATTTCAAATACCACTTAAATGCCTCCTTTTCATTTTCGTATATGCCTATGCCTTTATCATAGCATATTGCAACATTAAGTTGCCCTTTTAAATTTCCACCTTGAGCAGATTTCAAATACCACTTAAACGCCTTTTTTTTACTCTCTGTTGTACCAGTGCCATTTTGATAACACACTGCAAGTTTATATTGTGCCGTAGAATTATTACCTCTAGCGGCTTTTAAATACCACTCAAATGCTTTTTCTTCATCCTTGACAGTGCCTATGCCTTTTTCATGACAGATTCCTACTTTAAGTCGTCCTACTGAATTTCGACTGTTAGCAGATTTCAAATACCATTCATATACCTTCTTTTCATCCTTGGCTATGCCAATCTGATAGCACATTGCGAGTTTATTTTGTATTATATAATTACCATATTCAGCAGATTTCAAATACCATTCAGATGCTTTTTTTTCATCCTTGTCAGTACCTACACCTTTTTCATGACATAATCCAACTTTATATTGTCCTTCCAAATTGCCACCTTCAGCATATTTTAAAAAATACTCAAATGCATTTTTATCATTCTTGGCTGTACCTATACCATATTTATAATACAATGCAAGATGATATTGTGCGGTAGAATTACCACCTTCTACAGATTTTAAACTCCATTTGAAAGCTTTATCTTCATCTTTAATTACGCCTATGCCATATCTATAGAAAATAGCAACCTTAGTTTGTGCACTAAAATTGCCACCTTCAGCAGATTTCAAATACCACTCAAATGACTTTTTTTTATCTTGGGCTGTGCCTATACCGTTTCGATAGCAGAATCCAACATTGAACTGTCCAATAGGATTTCCACCTTTGGCAGATTTCAAATACCATTCAAATACCTTTTTTTCACCTTTTACGGCGCCTATGACTTTCCAATAACTGACTTCAAGATTAGATTGTCTATTCGGATTGTCACCTTCAGCAAGCTTCAAACACAATAAAGATTCGGTCTCATTTGTACAAGACATTTGAACTAAAAATACAGTATGCTGGACAGTTATGATACTATATAAAGGTCCTGTAATTTGTTATAAACTACAAATATTCCGTCAGAAGTTGAACTTTATTTAAATTAGATCTTGTGTGAATTAGGCTGCAGCTTTAAGCAAGATAACAATTCTGATAATAATAAGCGGAATAGCCGATGACGTGAGTGCTTTTTTAGGAATAGCCTTTTTATATTTATAAAAACAGTTGCCTTTTATAGTAATCGAATTGTTCCACCCATAGTTTCATTTATTATTCGGTCTTACTGTGTGTTTAGGAATGCGCGCATGTGCAGCCTGCGCAGATTACACATTAAATTCAACACCTACAAATTGTACAAAGTATTGTATACATACGTAGTGCCTGTAAATATAAAATATAGAGTTATGTATAGTAAGTAGCTCAGGCTGCGTAGTAGAATCAAAATCAGTGATTTGCTCATCCTATTTATTAATTATTAGTTTTACAAGTATGCATTTTACATTGATTTTTAATATATTTTTTATCGCTGTTTTCAAAATGGTAGAGAATAATAATATTCTCAAAAAAAAATAATAATAATAATTTTTTTGTGAATACCCGAATACCTGAATGCCCGATTAGTTTTTGTCACATTGATCGAAAATTGATTTCTAACTATGAAATATATAGTATATAATTATTATATTACTAAACAATTACTCGCCTCTATCTTCGATCTAATCGGTATTCAGGTATTCACAAAAAAAAATTTTTTTTTTGAGAATATTATTATTCTCACCCATTTCGAAAACAGTGATAACTTTTAAATAATAAAGTTTCTATTAAATTTTATATGGTAATTATGTTTATATTTTTATAAATGAGGACTGAGGCAACAAATAGTTTAGCTAACATACTTCGATGAAATTGCAAATATCGAACAGAAACAAGAACACACATTGAATATCTACCCTAACTATTTTAAAAAATAAGTAAATATATAATTTTGAGTAAGCTAGGTGTTTATTTTTTTAACTGATAGTTAAATAAGTTTAACCGATGTGTTTACATAGTTTAAGTGTGTTACACCGTGAATGCCGGCCAATTTAATCTAGAGCTAGTCAGATTTGGTATAAATTTGTAACTTTATAACAATCTCTAAATATACTAGATCTTAGAATTCTTCAAAAATATTTACCAGTTTAATACAACATAGTACTTTTACAATTTATAAAATTTTTAGTTTATTATAAAAAAATTCTATAAAAAATTAAATGTTTGTACAAAAATTAATTCTAATTTTATATTACGTGAAATCTTAAGCCAGTAATATTTTTTTATTATCAATAAATTTCTTTGTCAGATTTATCAGATCTCGTCAGAAAATGTTGAACAAGTTTTATAAAAAACTAAAAAATAGACGGATATAATAATATGAATAAAAATTAACTTCGTAGAGACTAATTATTTTCACTATAAAGAAGGATATAATTAGAGATGGGTTTCATGCGTGCGCATGATTCCTCAATCGTGCGCATTAATGCGCATTCATATACATGGATGCCTAAATTATTTTCGAAAAATCGTATTTTCGGCAAACATTTCGACATTGCTAAATTTTTTATATGAAACCCTTCTATTATATGATGTATTTTGATGAAAAGAGTTCAAAAAATTTCGGCAATAATTTCGGCTGCCTAAATGCCGTAATTACTTTTTTATTAAGATGTCCATGTATACGCATTCATGCGCATGATTCGGAATCATGCGCATTTTATCCCATCTAAATTTTATATAGGAAAATTAAAGTATATTT